AGGAGCTTCCTGGAACATGGGAGGGACAGTGGTTTTAGGCGGTCCGGAAAGTTTATCGGATGATTAGGGAAGGGGCGTTGAGTGCGATAGGGGAGGGGGGAAATCTGCGTCGGAGGTAGGATATAAAAATGTGTCAAACAGCTCTTTAAGGTGTGGCTGAACTCCTGTGTGTGTTTCAGTCCACCAAGCCTTTGCAAATGCTTCTTTTGAAATAAAACTTTGTTGCTGGAATTCCAAGTGAGTTTGTTTGTTTTGGGATCTTGAGCCACGTTCCAAACAGGGGGATTTTTGGGAAGTCAGCCCCCCCCCCCCGAGAAAGAAATATTTTTGGAAATATTTAAAAGACAATATATTTTCCTAAAGGATTTTAAAGGTAGAAACCAACCCCACCCCCAAGTCTCTCTGTCCCAAACAGAAACCAAGTCTGCAAAATGCAGGTGATAATCTTGTCAGAAAGACTGGAGTCAGGAAACTGGGATTAGGAATCCCAAGAATCAACAATCCCTCACACCAAAAATCTAAGAGTCATCAGCCACAGCCCCAGGGAAGCAGGATATGACCTTTGGGACATCATAGGATTAACCCACCACCATCAGAATACCAGAAAGGCACACCCAGACTCAGGTCAGAATACTTGACACAGGAAAGACAAAACCTCAAACAGGAACAGGAAATAACTCCAAACAAAAGGCTCCAGAGGGTATAAAAACCCACTCCCTACATGTGCTCATTCTCCCTTTTCTTCCAGAGCCATCTTCCTGTCTGGCTCTCCTCTTCAGTAAACTGTAATCTTCTTCCTAAAGCAGTTGCCATGTTGTTTATCCCCAACCTGGACTGAACCTTGATGAAGACTTTTCCTTCAACAGTGTACATAATTTTACTCAGCTAACTAGTAGGATGCAAAGCTTTTTTCATATGGCATCATAGTTTCTACTGTATGTTACGCTCCTATACCATTTTTTTTTAGAATTGGTTACTGAACTTTTATCACCTGTCATTAGAAGTCAAAGATCATAAAAGGAAACACATCTTCCTTTTTGGTAAATTATGGTACAAGAATAGTATACAAGCCAATGTTTACAATGCAGTAATCTCTCTTCAGACTAAAAATATAAGAGCACAAGAATAAAACTAAATTATCTAAAGTGTACATTAAAACAAAGATTTGGTTCTGTTTGATCAGGGTAATATTCATGGTTTGTATTGTCCACCAGAAGGTTAAGATCCCAGCAATTCTTGCACGGAACGCGATCATTGTGTTATTTCATCCATTGTTACTCTAGTGGATTTTTACTCATTATTCATTTAGATTTCAAAATTTCATTTGCAATCTAGTTTCACAGAACAATGAGGTAGGTTGGACTGACAAGCAGCAACTGGCTCCAAATCACCAAGTTTCTGTAGTTGAGGATCGATTATAATCCGATCTTCCTACTCGTCTTAACCGATACGCCATACTACTTTAAAAAAAAATTATGCCGAGTTTTGAACCAGAGACATAACAGGCAAATGTTATCCGACCGGGATACTTTTAAACATCATTTATGTTAACTATAACATGATTTATCCTCAAGGCTGCCACTGTAACTAGTAAACAATGGTTTACGATTTAGCAGGTTCAAATACGGTCAATACTTTGCTTAATGCTGCAATGGGGGGGGAACTCTTAGAAACTGAGAACATGAGGTATCGACTAATTAGAATTGGCCAAGCAAGTCTTTTCGCGCAATAATGTTTCAGTGTCAAATAGACACCTTCCCCAGATTATTACTGCGAAGTCTTCACGCCGATATACACGCAATCCGCCGAATGACGAAAAACCTGCAGCACGTGCAGCGGAAACGGGGAGGGTCTCTCAAAAGGAAGACGTTCCTGGCGTCTTCCTGGCAGCAGAGACTGGCAGGATCCGCCCGGGCGAAGTGGTGGAGGGCTCCCTTTGGCTTACCTGCCGCCCGGCTGGCTTTGAGAAGTCAATCACCCCGGTAGGATCCGACCCCTCCCATCGCCGATAGAAACGAAAGAGGCGACGGAACGCATCTTCTTCCCTCGTGGCCGCCGCCATCTTAACTCAAGGCGTGACCTTGCACGCGCTCCGCCGAAGCAGCGGAAACTAGCTTCCCATTGGCTGGAAAGCGCCGCGGCCGGACAAAGTAGTCGTCCCTCGTTTTAAGATGGCAGTGAGGGGTGTTTCTCGGCGTGTCTTCGAGGTCTTTGTTAGGCGAATACCCTGGAACATGGAGGAAAGTGAGTGAGGGAAGATGCATTTTCTTATGATGGTTAACGGGGTAGTAAGGATTTCCCCTCGCTTGTGGTTTGAGTGTCTGAAGCTTTTGTTCCGCCAAAGGGTAGGGGTATATCTCCGAGACAGCTCTTAACTGGGCAGGGATTCCAATTTATTTCCTGTGAAGAGGCCGAAGCGGATTTTTCCTACCTTTCTATCCCAGCCGACGTCTTCTTTGTCAATTCTTTGCCAATTCCTCTTGCTTTGAGGAGATATCCCGGGTTTTGACTGCGATCGCTTGTCTTCTTATCGAGGTGCCAACTAGATGGCGCTAGTCAGGGGTGGATGAAGCTGATGAGCCCGTGTGGAAATTTTCAGTGTGGTCGTTTGTATACTGGGGCTATGTAGCGAAAATTAATAATAGTAATAATAATAAAAAGTTATTATTATTATTATTATTATTATTATTAGTAGTAGTAGTAGTAGTAAGAAGAAGAAGAAGAAGATAGCGAAAATTAATAATAGTAATAATAATAAAAAGTTATTATTATTATTATTATTATTAGTAGTAGTAGTAGTAGTAGTAGTAGGAAGAAGAAGAAGAAGATAGCGAAAATTAATAATAGTAATAATAATAAAAAGTGATTATTATTATTATTATTATTAGTAGTAGTAGTAGTAGGAAGGAGAAGGAGAAGGAACAACTAATCAAGGAGAAGAAACCTAGAACTAGAGAGAAATTTCCTAACAGTGAGAACGATTAACCAGTGGAACGATTTGCCTTCAGAATTTGTAGATGCTCCATCACTGGCGGCTTTTAAGAAGAAACTGGACAGTCATTTGTCTGGAATGATATAGGGTCTCCAGGTTGAGAAGGGGGTTGGACTAGAAGACCTCCAAGGTCTCTTCCAACTCTGTTATTCTGTTGTTTTTATTATGTTATTAATCGCCCTAAACAAATGAGTTCCTAATATTGTGTAGTTTCCTGTACAGATTGCAAGGTAGAAGGGAATTACTATAGTGTGCTTGTTTTGGTTTTATGTACACTAATTCTGGAATAAGTGGACATGATATACAGATTGGAACCTAGATATATCTAGAATAGACAACCAGTGTGCATAGTGATAGATCATTGTCTTGTATGAACCCAGAAGATCGGTTAGTTTCATTTTATTATGAGTAAATTGTGGTCTTGAGCAATGGGTTTCATTGTTAATTTGAATTTGAATCTATTTTTTCTTGTACTGACTGTTGATTATGTTTGCTTCTTTATAAAAAAAACAATACTTTTTGGCTTCATATATTACTGTATGCATAAAGGAGCAAAGAAATCCTTTCTCATTCAGGGACTATATTTAATCTGTGTTTCATTTAAATTAAAAGCTGTAATTTTAATCCTTTTTTATAATATTGATCAGAGAGCTATTAGGCTGGTTAAAAATTAATCAAATGTATAATTTTGTGAATGGTAGTTCGATCATATGTTTTGACCAATTGGAGGATGTGATTTCCCCAAAAGCTCATTGCCATTGCTATTTGCTGTGTTGTAGAACTTTTTGAAATTTGAAGCCAAACTTTTTGAGCAGCATCAAACAGTTACATTTAGTTACCCATTTCTGTCAAATGTCTGTAATGTATTATCATCTCAAGGGTTGTGAGAAATTTAGGGTGACTAGCCTTGCTCCTCAGAAAGTCATTTTCTAAGCCCACAATTGAGAAATTGGCTCTTAGAAATGTAGTGCATCAAATGATCTATACTTTACTGACCACCTGCCATTTTTTAAAGATGAACTACGAGAATATTTTACTCAATTTGGACCTGTGAAGAAATGCATCCTGCCATTTGTAAGTATCACGATCATTAAACGATTTATCCAGTGTAAACATATTCAAATTGTATTTGACCAATGGTATTGTAGGTAAATAAACAGATAAGAGGCATGATATTTATCAAGGTTTTCTGGCAGTTTTCTCTAACATGTTGTCTTTTAGGGCAGTGTTTCTTAAAGTGCCTCTCTGGTTCCTGAAATCAAAACTATTTGCAAACTTATGTTGAAAAATAATACGGTATTAAAATACCATCAAACAACTGTGAGAAGCGGTAACACCAGTGAATGTGTCAACTTTAATTTTTTTAATATAGTAAATATAAATAAATATAACCCATACAAACAAAATCTTTTTTGGAGTCCTCCATAGTTTTTAAAAATTGGAAGGGATCCTGAAAGAAAAAGTTTAAGAAAAGTGCTCTAGGTTATTATAAGTGGTGAAAAGTTTAGGAATTCTTTAAAACTGTCTTTAATCTTGCAATACTGTGATCTACAATGTGGTGCAAGCCGCATCTGTGGAATGAGGACATCAAGCAGTGTAACATATGAGTTTATTGAATACATTTGAGGCCACATTCACATTATTTAATAGAAAAGGTACATGAAATTTTAGATTTAATGAGTGGCAGCATCTCCTTTAGTATCAGTGACTCCAATCCCTCAGGATCCAAAAAGATCTTGACAAACGTGAACAGTGGGCCCTATCCAACAAAATGAGTTTCAATGTGGAGAAAAAGTTTTATATTTAGGTAGGAAAAATCAAAGATACAAGTACAGATTGGTCAAGACCTGGCTTAAAAACAGTAACTGTGAGAGGGACCTTGGAGTCCTAGTGGACAATCACTTAACCATGAGCCAGCAATGTGCAGCAGCCGCCAAAAAAGCCAATATAATCCTGAGTTGTATAAACAGAGGGATAGAATCGAGATTACACGAGGTATTAGTACCGCTTTATAAAACCCTAGTAAGACCACATCTGGAATACTGCAGCCAGTTTTGGTAACCATATCACCATATCCAAACAGATGTTTGGAAAAAATTCAGAGAAGAGCAACTAAGATGATCAAAGGACCGGAGACTAAAACATACGAACGGCTGCAGGACTTGGGTTTGGCTAGTTAAAGAAAAGAAGAAATAGGGGAGACATGATAGCAGTATTGCAGTATTTGAGGGGCTGCCCACAAAGAATAGGGGGTCACGTTATTTACCAAAGCACCAGAGGGCAGAACAAGAAACAATGGATGGAAACTGATCAAAGAGAGAAGCAACCTAGAATTAAGGAGAAACTTCCTGACAGTGAGGACAATTAACCAGTGGAACAGCTTGCCTCCAGAAATTGTAGGCGCTCCATCACTGGAGATTTTTAAGAAAAGGCTAGACAGTCACTTGTCTGAAATGGTATAGGTTCTCCTGCTTGAGCAGGGGGCTGGACTAGAAGAGCTCCAAGGTCCCTTCCAGCTCCTATTCTGTTCTGTTCTATTTTAAAGATATCTATTGTTCAGTGCTGCTCAGTAGTTTTGAAGATATTTTGACAATTCTTTTTTACACAATTTCTTCAGCTCGTTTATATTTTTGAATATATTAGCAGTTGCAAACTGAAGCCTCAAATTCCACTTTAATCTCACTGTCTACTAGACCATTCAGGCTCCTCTATCTAGTTTGCCAATGTGCTTTTGGGATAATAATGGTTTCCTTCGTATTCTCCCATGTACATCACTTTTATTCAATGTTTTCCTAACACACGAATAGTAATATTAGATAATTAAAAAGTGGCCTTTAATCCTTTGTCATTGCCATGTGAATGTTTGCAGTTTCCTAGTGTATTGCATGCCTTGCTTTTTAAGAGTGATTTTGGTAGCTGACAAAACGGAAAGCTTAGGAATGTTATTGCATTTTCGTACAATCTGTGTAATGGTGCAAACCAGAGACTTTGGCAATAGATCTATAGCCCTTTCTACCTTCATAAGTAGAGACGAGGTTTGTAGAGATCTTTTGGTCAGGTATTATTCACTACCATAAAGATGTATTAATAGCAAAGATTGGTAGTAACAACCAATTAGTTTAGTTTTATGGAGTGGATCCTTTGTGTTTCAATTGCATCTGACTTAAGAGACCTGATTAGTTAAATTTTCCAACAATCGGTGAAAATATTGGCTCAGTTTGTTCAGTAGACACGCTGGAGCATTTGTGCTGTTCATTTAACCAGAATTTCTTATCTGAATAATTCTTATTCAAGCATCGAGAAGATTGTAGGTCACAATGTTGCAAGCTTATGGATAAGGATTCACAAACTTTTCATCACTACTGTACTTTCCATAATTCTGAGCCTGCATAGTTTATTTTTTAGCCACTGTAGGGATTGTAGTTTCACATACTTGTAGAACACCAAATTGATGAAGCTAATGCAAGTAGATAAATAGATACCACTTCGGTGGGAAGGTATCAGTGTTCCATGAGCCTTGGCATATAATCATACTGTTCACATGATCCCAGAAATGTCTTCTGACAATGCTGGCTCCCTCAGCTAAAATGAGCATCACCCCCTAGAGCCGGATACAACTGGACAGTCATAATACTTTAAAACCTTTACTTTTATCTTTTTAGTTTAACATACTTGTAGGGCACGAATTGATGAGGCTAAATTATTAACTTCCCTATTTTCTTGGTAAACATTTTTGTATCTGGGGAGAAAAAAGTTATTTTTTATAAAGACAGGAAGCTTTGTGTAACGATAGTGATTCTTTGCTGTGGACGATTTCAGTTCTATTTTTTCAGGTTTTGAACTTAAATGTAAGGTATGAGATCCAGGACAAAATTACCATATAAAAATGTCCTTCTCTTCTTCTATGATCATACTGAGAATAATTCAAAGATAACTTTCCCTTTCTTTACCAGTCAATAAAAACTGTTCACTATCAAGAATGCAATCCTAATGTTTTAATGGGTTATCTTATTTTTACTGGAATGATTTTGTCGTTATTATAACTAAGGTGTTCTGGAATTAGAAATGCATAAAAATATTTTGTACAGAATCTTATGTTTCATTGTACAAAATAAAGCATATTCATTTATGATACACATACTGTTGTAAAGCTGACATCTTTAGCTTTTAGTGAAATGTGCCTTGTTTGCCTTTCCTAGCTGATTGTAGACACGGTTTAGTCATCCTTGAGTAATTTGACTTCCACTGATTAATAGGATGAGTGCACATTTGTTCTAAACTCCCCCATAATTAATAGGACTTGGTATGTAATTTCAGGTATTGTGCTGCAAATTATGCATTTTTAACATTTTAAAAAAAGATTAACAATTATATTATTACTATAAGCAATATAGAATCTCTGGAAGTGGAGTAGCACATATACCAACATATATAAATTTGAGTAAACAGTCAAATACATCTTATTGCCTAACTAACATTTTAAAATCCTTTATTATTAACATTGTGTGATCATACACAAACCTATTCAAAAGTATGCAGAATTGAATTGGGGGTTACTTGCCAAAAATGCATATACTTTAGTTTTCTGTATCCAACAAATACAAGAAAAATTAAATATCAATACCATTCTCTCTAAAACTATTATTCCATGAAACAGGTTTTATCAAATTTGTTGTTGCGTATTGGAAAATGGTTTCTAGTTTACCTAACAGATAATATAAGTTTGAATACAAACTCTTAAGCAGTAACTAACCATGAATAGAGTTTCCAAATATAAAAGAGGATCAACTAATGTATTCTCTTTAATGTTCAGAATGTACAAACAGGATTCCATAAAGGTTTTGGCTGGATTGGATTTGCTACAGAAGAAAGTCGCAATAACGCTTTGTTGAAAGATCATACTTTTGAAGGGTCACAGGTAATTTCAGTTCTTTTAAGATATATCAGGTACCTCTCTTTATTTCAAAGAAAGCTTCATTAGTCTGTTATTTATACACATTTAAGAAAACCCAGTTTCTACAGTTAAGAAGTAACAGTTAAATGCAGGATATACAAAGCATTTTGGGTGTGGACTGTCCATGGTAGAATCAAAATGTACATTCTGAGATGGCAGACAGCAAGGAAAAGAGAAAGCCAACAATGATAAAAGGCAACAGCAAAGGGAAGGAAGACATTGGGACAATTGGTAGAAAGAACTGGCATGCTGGCTGGAGCATAGACATTGTTATGCTTGAATTCATGTAAGGTTGTTGCAACAACCAAAGGAGAAGAAGAGGCTGGGGCTTCAATGATAAGAGGAAGGAACATGTAGGTGTGATAAAAGGAAAAGAGGAACAGAATGTAGCGGCCTGCCTCTACTTGTCCTGCAAGACAATCCATAATTTGTTTTGGCTAAAACCTACAACAAAGCAACTCCAAATGTTGGGATAATCTACCCAGAATAGGTCTTATAATGGTGTTTTTTCTGCGCATGGGACAAGATAAACGTTCCATATCATGCACATCTCTAATTAAAGGTACACTGCTAAAGGGATAGCTTGTTCAATGTGTATCCACATCTGAAAGGTATACAGTAGTAATCTGCATACATAATGCAGACTATATTCTTTAACAGTGGAAATATTAATATAGTCCAGATATTTATTTTGGTTACAAAAATTGAAAATGTGTATTGAGTTATTTTTTTGTATTATCTTTCAGCTTGAAGTTAAACGTCAAGAAGACAAAACAGTCAGATGAAATACTTGCTAATACAAATTAAAAGGAAGGAGCCTTTATTTAATTGCTGTGTAAAGAAATTAAAATAAACTTTGGTATGTATATATTCATCTTAGTTAATTGAGTGCAGCTGCTCCTTTAAGGTTAAATGGAACTGGATAGTTACATCAGAGCAAATCAATTAGTACTCTTCCCTTTTTTCAAGTACAATACATAGCAGAAACAGACACAATTATATACAAGAGAATTTATCTGGAATAACATTTTAAAGTAAAGAATAAATCACTCCTGCGTTAAAACAAAGGATGAACATACTTAGAAACCAAGATACAGAACCTATGTTATTCAGCAGTCTGCTTTTTCTTTTCTCTATTCCATAGGGAAATGTTGCCTTTGAACACTCTTGGTACATTATTTTCAGCACAGAGCTAGTTAAAGCTCTGAATTCAGTCTCTGGCCAGAGAGAAAATCAGTTTTTTACTCTTTCCTTCTCTTTTTGCCTTCATGATCGTGTTCTTTAGGACGGTTGCTATCAGAAGGTCTTTTAGAGCCCCCGTGCTGTTTTGCCTCCTCCAGAAATTTGTCTAGACCAAAAGGATCTTCCTCAAATTGAACTGGTCCTTCTCTTCCTCTTTGTCTACGATCTGAGCCAGAAAATTCCTTATCAGGAACAAACCTGCAAGAGGAAAAAAAAGAAATAAGTAATATATTTCTTGTAAAAATCCAATCACTGAGGTTCACATTAATTTCCCTACCTGTTAGGTTCACATTAATTTCCCTACCTGTTAGTAGTTTTTATTCTTGATTCCAAATCATCACCATACACGTCCTTATCCACATTTTTACTTGGTCTGTATATATTTTGAGCCATGTCTTTACCACTTCTCCAGGGCTGATCGTAGACATTATAAATTTCATCTTCTCCTCCTGCAAAGCCACTGTCCATGCCCTGTCAAATATAGGAATAATTCACACAGTTAGGATAACAAGAAACAAATTCCAGAAATGAGTCATCTCAAAAAACAATAATTATATTGACCCACCAACTGGACAAACCACTATTATTAAAAGTTAAATTGGAGAACTATGAAGTCTTTAAAGCTACAATATGACAAGCCTTCCTTTTTTTCACTGTTTCAATCACTTTTGCCTCTTAAAGTGGCTATGAAAAAAAGCTAGAACGTAAAAAGAATGCAAGATGTGGATGAAGGAGAGAAGCTTAATTTCAGTGAAGTTTTTGCCAAGGTTCCCTGCGACATTTTCATTGTCAACTCTTGATATTTGGACAGTCCTATAGAAAAGGGAATCTCAAATGGCTGGCATATCACACTTAGGAAGTCAGCAGTAAGGACTTTACATTGTTGGAGAGCAGTAACCAAAATGGTTCCAATGCCAAGGGTAAAAGTTTGAGATTACAATCTAATCTGGGCAGATTGAAGGACAGCCAAGGGGAACCAAATGTTTTAACATAAGGTATTTAGTAGAAAAAAAATGTAGGGAATTATGGCTTGGAGACGCTACATTTGAGAAGAGCTTGGGTACAGTCATTTACAACAACTGAATATGAATCCACAGTGAGACAGTTACTAGAATTGCTAATGTGGCTCTAGGTTGCATTAGAAAAAAATTTGAAGTCTTTCTAGCATTGATGAGTCCATTTCCAGAAGGACATGAACAAATGAGAAAAAGTACAGAGGAGGACATAATAACTGTTCAAGTATATAAATGTAAACTGTGGGGAAGGTAACCAAAAACTATTTCAAGGCCATAGAAACACATAGATCACAAGTAATGGTCAGAAGTGACAGCCAACTAGATTTCATTAACATATACAGATAGTCCTCACTTATCAACCACTTGTTCAGCAACTGCTGAAGTTATGACAGCTGAAAAAGGTCAATGTTGTAGCTTGGTTATGTGATCACAATTCAAGCAGTTGTCAACTGGTGTGTATTTACAATAATTGTAGCATCCTGCAGTCACATCATTTGTGAGCTTCACCGCCAGCTTCTAATATGTCAACCCCTTTCCTGCTTTTGATGTGTAGAAGAGCAAACGGAAAAGGGACTCTCTTGAAGTCCCTCTCCAATTTCTGTTTTGAGGGGGTGGGAGAAGATAGCCGAGCAAAGGAGATTTCCTACATGAATCACTTGCTCTCTTCTCCACCAGCAGAGAGATTGGAGACAAAAAGATTTGACAAAAATAATCTGTTTGCGTAGAGCTGGCATGTCCAACCCATAGCTTGTGAGCAGCATGCAGCTCTGGACAGCTAGTAATGTGGCCTCACAAGATCATAAACTTTTAATGTGATTTATATACATTAACAATGTTATATATTTTATATGCTGCCCAAGACAATTCCTCTTCACTGAGGCCCAGGAAAGTCAAAAGATTGGATACCCATGGCACAGTCTGTGGCTCTCATGCTGTAGTGTGATTGCATTACTTTCAATGTGCAGAGAACAGTAAGCAGGCACTCCAGCATTCCAGGGGATGTGGGAGTGGTTATGCAGTCTGGATTCCCAGAAGGGAGGGAGTGCATTCGGGAGGAACAAGAGAAGTCAGCATGGATAGTTTAAGAGAAAAAGGGTGAAGATGGCTTCTCCCTAGTAGTTCCAGAGTACGTGTGTTATTGGGGGGTGGGAGGGATGGGGAGCAGTAGCATGCTTTACTTTGACATGATTCTGTCCTTAGGTGACGAACAAATAAAGAAATCTGCTTCAAAGAATTACAACCTTTCTTTCCTGTTTTCTGGAGCCTGATAGGTTAAAGCTGAAGGTGTAAAATTAATTAATCTTGTCTCTTTCAAAACGGTCACATGATTTCCCTTAGCAGACACTTCACTTAGCAGTGGAGTTACCAGTTCCAGCTAGGATAATTAAGCAGGCACTACTTGTGTTCCCTTTCAACCATGTTCTAGAATGGGGCCATCCCGACGCAGTGTGTGCTTTCATACGAACCTTTTGCTTTTTTGTTTCAATAGTACGTCATGGGCATTCCTTCATTATAGAAACAACATCCAAAACTTAGTTTTTCCCATGTCCACAGTATATTTTACAATAGTTCTTGACTTCTGACCATTTGTATAATGACCATTATGATGGTGCTGAAAAAAGTGACTTGTGGCCTGTCCTTGCATTTATGACCACTGCAGCATCTCCAATCACGTGATCAAAATTCAAATGCCAGGCAACTGGCATGTGTTTACAACACTTATTGCATCTTGGGTCATGTGATCACAATTTGAGACCGTTACAGAGAAAGCTAGATTCATTTAATGACTATAATTCACTTAATGACCATGATTCACTTAACAAATACAGCAAAAAAAGTTTCTATCTCAGTTTTGATCATAAATTGAGGACTACCAGTGAAGGTGTAATTATCAAAACTGGAAATGTTCATTTATATATTCACATATTATCCAATTCTGCCTATACTAACCAGGATTTAAGCACAGGCTCAACAACAAATTAAGAATTAAATGTAAGATGCTCCGTATACCGGCGGCCCTTTTAAAAAAATATTCATATTCTTTATCAGATAGAGAAATTGATGTTCCATGTACTCATGGAATTCCTTACCTTAGTTTGGTTGAACAGCCTCTGATCATACTGAATTTCACTGGATGTCCGAGGATTAGGAACGCCCAATGCGATGACTTCACTAATATCTCTGTTCTCATTCCTCTGTAGTTTTGATCTGAATTTAACAGTATTGCATCTCTGTCAATTATTAACACTTAGCCACTTATTAAAATTATTAGCCGCACTTTAATTTAAAAAATTAGATTGAAATTTGCCTGGTAAATATGAAGGATGAAAATGAAGGAAAATGTATAGGATACAACATAGAAGTTTTATGTTCAGAATGAACTTTAGTCCTGCTCTTTGGATAAAACATCACAGGTTTTATATCAAGATGTTGATTCTAAAATTTATATCTTATGATATATTGCAATGCTCTCTACATGGGGCTCCCCTTGAGGTGCACCCGGAGGCTCCAGCTAGTTCAGAATGCGGCTGCGCGGGGGATTTTGGGGGCCTCTAGATGCTCCCATGTAACACCTCTCCTGCGCGAGCTGCACTGGCTGCCGGTGGCCTTCCGGGTGCGCTTCAAGGTGTTAGTAACAACTTTTAAAGCACTCCACGGCAATGGACCTAGGTATTTGCAAGACCGCCTCCTACCAAACACCTCCCTTCGACCAGTCCGCTCCCACAGAGAGGGCCTTCTTAGAGTGCCGTCGGCCAGACAATGCCGGCTGGCGACCCCCAGGGGGAGAGCCTTCTCTGTGGCAGCTCCTGCCCTCTGGAATGACCTACCCCCCGACCTACGTACAGTTGCGGACC